CCTTTGAGGTATTTGACCTCTTTAACTCTCTTAAAATATACGTGTATCTGAATCTTGCCGGCTTCCCAGATGGCTCAATGGTAAAGACTTCAGCTGCAATGCAGGAGATGCAGGTTCGATGCCTGGGTCAGGGAGATCCGCTGGAGAATACTTTCTCCAGTATACTTTCCTCCTGGAAAATCCCATGGATAGAAAGGAGCCTGGCAGGCTACAGTCCATGGGGGTTGCAAAGAGTCAGACATGACAGAGCAGCTAAGCAACATCAGCAACCTGACTCTTGTACTGAGATGTGATTTCTTACTGGAAACAGAGTCTTTTCCTAACACTGGTTAGGAATGGTTTATGTAGTTCCGTGTTGGTCATTGAGTTTAGGACGTATGGGGATTCTGTTTTGGTTCTATAAGGCATTCCTTTGAAAGTTCCAAATGTAGAAAGGGTATTCTGTGGTCAGTTTCGGTGGGGAGGGTTCAGCGAGGAGCTGTATTAGGAGTCTTCTCCTGCTTTCCTGTTAGGTTGAGATACATGATGCCGGCCTTGATGCCAGAAGCTGTAGGAAACTGTCCAGAAGCTTCATGTCAGATGTGATTTTCAACATTTAGTCTTAGTTTGCTAGATAAAGTTAAATTGCTCTGGAGGATCTTGAAGGGCCTGGAGTTTGTTTATTGGTGTTACAGGGGAAAGGCAGCTTCTGTTTGGTTTTGAGGTCGTCCTTAAAGGATTGGGCTGAGAGCACAGCACGTTATAGTAGTGCAGCTGTAGTTTACGTATTAGCTTATGTGATTCTGGTAAATCACTGAAGGAGATTGGTGATACGAGACCTGGCGCGCAGCCGTTGAAGGGACTTAACTCAGGACACCTAGGACTACTTTGCTGAGATGCAAACCCAAGTTCTTGGCTTATGAGGCTGACTCTTATTATCGTAAGCAAATCAGTGAGAAAGGAGTTGGCACTGATGAGAATAAAAGCTGGTTCTGGGGACTTACCAGGTGGTCTGGTGGTTAGGAATCTGCTTGCCAATGCAGGAGACATAGGTTCGATCCCTGCTCTGGGAAGATCCTACATGCTGCAGGACAACTAAGCCATGAGTTGCAGCTACTGAAGCATGCACACAGCAAGAAAGACTCAGTGTAGCCAAAAATAAAATAATACATAATGCACTTTTTTAAAAAAGCTGGTTCTGGTCAGACGGACTCCTGCTGCTTCGGTGGGTGCTTGCCGTCCCTGAGGCAAGGCCTGATGCCGGGGCCTTTACCAAGCTGGGTAAACTTTTGGGCGCAATGTTTCCATGCAAATCTGGTTTGGGGCTGGCTCTTGAATGCTGACTTAGTGTTGTTGCCTTACATGGTGTCAGAAATACAGACAGAGGGTAAGTTTACTTACAAACAATATGTCTGTTAGAAGGTCCCAAATACAGCTTCAGTTTTGGTCAGGAAAATAATTTCTAGGTGGAAAACACAGTTAGCCTGCAGTTTTTTGTTTTTTTTTTTCTTTTTTCCATTGGAGTTGTCCGGTCTTTGGAAGAGGTAGAAAGAAGGCAGTCTGAAAAGGTTATGGGAATTTCTCAACACCTGCTTAAGCAGGGTCAACTATCCAGTTTAACCTGCTTGTAAACTCTGTGGTCAGGAATAGAAGCACAGGTAGAGAACACTACTGCTTGTTAATTTGTGCTAAGTTCTTGTCAGAATATCCTTATGTTGAAGCAAGAGATGATGCTGGAGAATCGCTGTCAGTTGTCATGCAGACTATTTGAAGGGCGGCAGTGGTGGTGATGTGTTAGACCTCCCAGAGCACTGTCAGGGAGATCAGATGCGTCCTCACGATGCCAGAAGCAGGGACTCTACAGCTGGCTGGGAGAATTTCAAGGTAAACCAGAGGTGAGATTGGAATCTAGATTTCCTGGATCAAGGTCAAGCTCACTTGTCAGAGGATGGTTTTAAGATTAGGGATCAGAGACCTGGCAGAGGAAGGAGACAGCTGGGACAAGATCCTTCTCTGTTGTTCTCGTTTCTGTTTCTTTTCCAAACCATTTATTTAGAATTCCCAGGACAAATGGTATGGCTTTTGATGTTTCTGCATCAGTTTGAGCTTTGATCTTTAACACTTGTCCTCCTGTTGCAGTCTTAGCTGCTCTAACCCAATTTATGTGGTCTGTGCTTTTAATCCGTACTTCTTTTATTTTCCTCTTAATATTAAAAGATTAATATTAAAGGTTTATGAGTTCATTTCATTCAGACCAGGTCTTAACTGTCCCCTGACAGTGAAGTTCACTTCTACCTTGAAGCCACTCTGTGTAATAACATATATAATTATTAATTAAAGAGGAGATCATCTTTCCTTCTTAAACTAAAATAAATTCCATGTAGGTCAAGTAATTAAATGTAGAAAGTCCAGCCATAGCAGCACCAGAGGAAAATTAAGAATGGCTTCTTTAATTTGGGAGTGTTCTCATCCTGACCCAAAGGCCAGGAACATAGGAAGGCTATTCTTTAGTCCGACCATGTAAAAACGTAGTTATGTACAGCAAAAAACCCATACTAAGCAAGGCTGAAAGACAGGTGACAAGGTGGAAAAACTGTGGAAAAGTCAGTATTTATCTTATGGAAGGAACTACTACAAAAAGACAAGGGTGAATAATTACCAAAAGAAAAATAAAGTGGGCCAATCAATAAATGAAAAGATGTTTAACTTCAGGAAGAATCACAGTAATGCAAATAAAAATGAGATCATTTTTTTAGTCTATTAGATGGATAAAGATTTTAAAAAGGTCAGTGAAACGCAGTATTGACACTGCGTGGGAAGCAAGCACCATCATAGACTGATAATATAAATCAGTAAGCTTCTCTGCTAGGCAGTTTATCAGCATGCATTACAGTTTAAAATATGCAGACACTTTGACCTAGCAATTTCACTTCTAGAGATTCCTTTTAGAGATCTGGGGAAAAGGTTATTTGACGTAGAGCATGTAACTGTGGAAAATTAGGTGAAAAATAAATATCCCCCGATGTTGGGAGTGTTCAGACACCAGACTGCTTGTGTAGTGGGGTATACTGATGATGATCTTACTCACATCTGTTTCTTTGGAGTGGAAGGGTGTCCGTGACACATTTGAGGGGAAGGAACAAATTACAGAAGAGCAGTATACCTCATGGGACGCGTTGATATCGAGGTGTCTCTCTGCACTCTGGCCTTGTGCACACACAGATACTGAGAGCCTGGGGGTTGCTTCCCAGGATCACCACAGGGTTACTGTGGTTGTCTCTGGATGGCGGACTTAGTTCTTGTGTATTTCTGTGTAGCATACGTCTGCGTATATGTACTCAGAGTGAGCAGATGTGATTTTTAACATTGGAAAACATGGAGAGAATTTTGGAGGCCGGGTAAGAACAGAATGCTCTTGGAGTGTATGGCGGGTGGAAAGTGGAGAGCGAGGACCTCAGGCCCCACAAAGGGCGCCTCTGCCTCTTTACGCCTACCCAGACACACAGGGTGGAACCTTGTTGCGAAGGCACGGGTAGCCGGCCCGTGCTTTCCAGGAGAGCCATGACCTTGTGTTCGCTTGAGTGGGTGGCTGTGATCAAACGAGCTAGGTGGGGCTGACCCAGTTTTGTGATTGCACCTGCTACAGCTCTGCCCTTTTTGCATGTACGTATCTGTCAGCTCCACTTGTTCAAGCAAGGTCATGGGATTGTTCTCTATACCAGTGATTTCCCTTTTCAGTACATTTCTTCCAAGGCACGGTCTGTAACCCTGTCTCAGCGGTGGTCAGGGAGAATTGAGTTGGATTGGCGTAAATCCAATCCCATAAAAGGAAAGGCTTGTTGCTCAGTTAACTGGAATCCTCTCAGAGGACAAAAGGCAGCTCTTTTTTATGTACTTGATTATACAGTTCCTGAGGTTTCTACTGTATCTCAGCTATTCCATTCTCTCTTTCTCAAGGGCATGGGCTGTGCTCTGCTTACTTTTTTTCCTCCCCATAGTTCTTTTCATTGCCTAGTTCAGTAATGGAGGTGGCATCAGTAAGCATTGACAGAAATGATGAAATACATACATAAGGTCAACTTGGGACTCTTCAGATGTCTTTCTCCCCCCCGCTCCCCGCAACAGACTGTTCTTCAGAGTTAGAGGAAAGCAGGTTCCTTCGCATTGCTGCAGGGTTTGGGAGGAGGGGTGGGCAGGGGGATCCTTCCTAGTCTGGGAGCAGAGCACACTCTGTTCCCTCCTTTGCCAGTTTGTCCCTCGTGCGGAGGGATTCCTGTGCCTTTGGAGCTGAGCAGGGACTTTTCCTCCTTGCTCTAGAATAGCCTGTGCTGCAGACACTCGGGACCCGTTTTCTTAAACTCATTGGAACCGTGGGCCCTGTCATTTTGCTCCTGGCATTTGATGCTGAATTGTGGTAAAACTTTACAGATATCCAGAACCCCTCGACTTGACTGTCTGGATTTGAGTCTGTTTCAGCAGTGTTTTATAGGCTTGTTTGCAATTTTGAAACTTGGTGAAGGCTTACTAACATTAAAGTTCAATTTCAGTTGTGCAGGAGTCAAAACAAGTGGAAGGAGGTCTTCCACTCTCTCGCTCTGGACCTTATCTTGAGAGCTAGTCTGCTTTGGCAGTGCTTCTGCTCTCCAGGGTTCTGACTTTGTTCGAATGAACTTGCTTCATAAAAGTGCTCTGGTATGCCATAATTGAATAAGTGTACAGAAGGGTTTGGAATCACCAGGTTAAATGATTATATAGCCTCAAACTGCATAGATTTTCTGACTCAATTAAACTACCCATTATCTCTTATTTAAGTGACCAATAAAACGTGCGATTATGTCTTTCTTTGCAAGTGGGATTAATATCTACTGTTTATCTCAAGATAAATATTGCTCACATAGCCTGGGAAAGCAATTTTATGCCCTCAGTGAGGCAGTAGAGGACTCCACTGTTGGGTATGAGGTTTTATCTTTCTGAACCGATTATGAAATATGCTAACCATTTATATGGCTTTGTCTTTATAGACTGAAATCGCCAAGAGATTGAATACGATTTGTGCACAAGTCATCCCATTTCTGTCTCAGGAAGTAAGTAAAGCTGTTCAGCTGTTAAAGTGCAATTATGTTGCTTCTCTGTTTGCAAATTAGCTAGTTTTAAGATGTTAATTTTATCACGAGGAACAAGTGTGAAGAACATCTGTTACAGCTGAAGTGTGTAAACCCCCTGCTATTCCATCTCATAGATCTAAGGGCACACTGTGGAAGTGGTGACGATAGCTCAACCTTAAATTAATTCTTTTCTATGGAAAACTGCAAAATGACTATCAAGCATAAAGCTTTTCTTAGAGGAGTAGTATAAGCTTGATAGCTTCTGATGATTAATGTGTGCTTTTACTGTTTCTTTTACTGCTTTTTAAAAATGGTTCCATCAGGGTTGACTTGATCATGTGAGCAGGTATTTCATTTGTCCTTGTACCTCAAGGCAGATTGACTTAATGCTGTCTGTGGAGGGAGTGGATGCCAATACTCTTAAGGTTAAGAGCATTCATGTTACATGTTCATGTTACCTTGGCTTACAGAGTTATATCCATGTAAGAGCCATTTTATTAAGTTGCAAAGTCATAGATAGGAGTTTAACCTTAATATTTTGAGAGGGGAAAGCTCTTTGTGTGAGTAAACCTATGAAATTGACTCAAAACCAGTTTTAGTTTTGCCTTAAAGTTTATTTTTGGATACAAGCTAATAAATGTAAAACAGTGTGTTAAGTATGTACAGGATGCGTATATCTTGAGACAGAGTGAAAAGCTTGTGGGCCTTGGAGCTAGAATGCTGAGTGTCTGTTCTAGTTGGCGTCTACTGCTCCATGCTGGGTAGCACCATCTCTGCTCTTAGTATGGCAGCCTTTGCCAACATAGCATTTACGTGATGTTACAGTTCAGATTTGTTGGCCTTTTGAAACCTTTAGTAATTCGGGTCTCTGCTATATATAGTCTCCTTTCTCCCAAAGAGATGTGCAACTTTGTTTTTTTTTTTTTTGTGAGTGTACCTGGGAGGTGTGCAGGCTATTTCCAGCCTGTGATCTCAGAGAGAGAGACAGAGAGCGTGTGTATGTGTGTCTGTCTGTCTGTGTGTCTTCCTTTCTCCTCTGGCTGGTGAAACATCTAAGGACTAAAGGAGGAAGGGAATTCCCAGAGTCCAGAACCAACTGGTGGTTTGAGATTTGTTGACCGGAGAAGAGATTGCAGGTTTAATGTTTAATATTTAAGTATCCAAAGGGGTGTTTTAAATGGCTGTAAATTTCTCCTGCTCAAATTTACCATAGCAAACCCTTTCTGAGAATCAGGATGATCTTCCAGGTCCCACACGATTGATTTCTAAGGCTTCACATGACCATTTTTTATGTCTTTTTTTGACTTTCTACCATTCTGAACCCCAAATTCCCATCAGAAGTTGACTGGTGCTTAGAAGGATGGGCAACACCACTGTTTTCCTTTCCCTGGTTGTCTATGTTCTGTGAAATGATGTGTGCTCCAGCAAGTTTGCATTTAAACACATTTTACACCTCAGTCTGCACCACATGCAGCATTTGTCCTATTGTTGGAAGGTACAGTGAAGTTCTTGGCTGCCTCACTAATACCTTTTCTTCTTGTTTTCAAAGCATCAACAGCAGGTGGCCCAGGCTGTCGAGCGTGCCAAACAGGTGACCATGGCAGAGCTGAATGCCATCATCGGGGTACGTGGCCTCCCAGGTCTACCTCCTACAGTGTGTATAACCAGCTTTCATTTCTTCTCAATTTGTTGGCTTAATCCATATCTAATCTGTATATAATATGAAGTTAACCTTGACCTTTTTGATAAGTGGGAGGGGGGAGGCAGTTTCAGGTATGGGGAAGTGGTTTCAGGTACACCGAGGTGTATAAGGGAAGAACACTTGGCGATAGGGAGGTAATAGCAACCTTTTTTAGCATGGGAACAAAATAAATCTTCTTTTCAATGGGAAAATAAATATAGTTTATCCTGCTCCCTCAGGTTAAAGCTTTAGGTGAATGTTTTAAACACCTACTTTCCTTACTTCTGTCATATAACTTTAGATCCCAATTGGGGTCAAGACATCACTTGGAATTATTTCGTTATCTTTTGCTTCTTTTGCCTTTTGCTTTCCCAGGGTATTAGAACCTAGGTGTAACTGTTTTGCTTTTCTTGTGGCTCTTTCATGAAGTTTTAAGTGGCACCCGGGCGAAAAGAAAGCCCTCTTGCCGTTGAAGAAGTGATAATTGTCTGCCCTGGTGCCCTCTAGCCTTTCACGAGGTTTCTGCTCTTCTGGGTTGAGTTCAGTTAGTGCTCCTTGCTGGCAACTGGTTGTCAATCACAAGTCATTTGCTCTGCATTAATGAGCCTGGTGAACCGTGGGGTCCCTCTCCTGCATGAGTTCATTCCCCACCCCCCGACCACGCCCCCTTCCTTCCCCCCAACTGCAGGATCCAGGAAGGTTCTCAGGTTTTTTCTGCCCTTCCAGCCTAAGCGAAAGAAGTAGCTGAAACAAGGGACCGTCCTTTCTGATTTTCTTCATACGTGAGTGCCCTGAGCGGATTCAAATCACTCATTTATCAATTTATGTTAATTGCTTGTGAGAAGATGCCCTGCTGGTCTTTATAGTTCCCTCAGACACTTTGTAATGATAATTAGACATGCTGCTGTACGGATTAAGAGTGCCATAGTGCAGTGACGGCCACAGACAATGGAACCAGTTAATCCATCAGGGTTTAAAATTACATCCCAACTGGAGATGGAGAAAAACACAAGAGCCAAGGAGGATTAAAGAATGAGCCTCAGCTTGAAAATTCTCCTTTCATCAGTTTCTCAATTGCAGATCTGCAGTCGGGTTGCCTGTGGTAAGCTATTGGCAGTCAATTAGGTGAAATAAACTGGGAGGGTGACCTTCATTTCCTTTTAATAGCTTTTTCCTCCCTGAAATGGGGAGCTTCAGTGGATTTTCAGCTTAAATTTTATTCAAGCTGCTTTATTACACTTGACAGCTTAGCTCTGCATAAACAATTCTCCCTCCTCCCCTTCCCCCCAGATCCGGGCTCTGCATCTCTCCCCCTTAGTATCACATTTTTGACTGTTGCTTAGTGGGCTCTCTAATCACATTCAACAAAAAACACAATTACATCTGCATTTGTCTGCTGCCTTCTGTACCCTTTTCTTGTGTAATGAATTGCTTTATTTCAGAGATCAAATCAAATATTCACTGGTACTTTTGCATGTACTGTGTTTGATTAGCAAAGACTAATAGCAAATTGTACTTGTAGCTCGAGCGCAGAATTTTTTTTAACCCAAATGAATGAGGATGGAAAAGCCTGTTTTGATTAAAGGAAAACATATGCAAAGCAGTTCTCAAGTACCCAGTTCAACTTTGTGGAACATGTTTGTTTTCTGATAGGCTCTAAATTTTTACATATCATTTCTTGATGGTAAAACTTTGTACTCTTTACGTCCTCAAAGCCACTGCCCAATCCTACCCATTAGAAAGGAGGAAATTGTGTTAACCAGATGTTTATAGGTAATACTCATTTCAAGTTGAATCAGAAAATAAAAATAACAGGTTGTTTTGCAAGGGCAGATGAATCGCTAATTTTATGAGTGGCTTTAGTCCAGGAAACATGTTGTTGAGATTATAAAGGCAGATTAGCTCTGATAGCTAGCAACAATAACCCAAATCAGTGAATTGGGCCCAGCACAAGACTTGACGCCAATTATGAGTTTTCAGCATATTGGCATGTGCGGCTTTTATAATTGTAATGTTTGGATCAGTATATTAATTTATGTCGGCAGGCTCTTTTAAAGTTTGTAGTGATCAATAATTATCCTGCACCATAAGTTTCATGCTCTGGCATATGCTTGATTTTTGCTTGAAAGGAACTGTGCGCGTCCTGGAAAATCGAAGTAGCATAAAATTGGGTTGACAATTCAGTGGACCTTTGCACCCCTTCATTGAACATGCAGTGTGTCGACCTGTCTCCCCAGAGGGGAGGAGGCTCTGGGAGGCTGTCTGTTCCTACAAGCAGCAGCTGCGCGCAGAGTAAATGCAGCCTGGTTTGATAGCAGCTGTCAGTATTGTTCAGGGGCCGACTTAGGGGAGAGAACAATGGGAGAGGCCATGCATCGACTTTCGGGCTAAGAAAAGAAATAGTAATTTAACGGTTTGGACATCTATTACAAGTGTGAAAGATCATGAAGGAGTGCCCTTTAAAACGCAGATGAGCCGAAACATTCTCATCCCCTTTAAGGTGCAGTCAAGGAGCTTATGCTCGCTTGACAGGGCTAAAGATAGTTCTCTTAGCAAACCCGGGAGAAGTCATATCTTCCTAAGGACACCAGGCTCCTAGGTGAGCTTAGCTGTGTCCTGGGACTGTGGATGCTCTTTTAGGAGGAAGAGGGAGGTTCTACCTTTTTCCATTTTTGTGGAGTGAATTAATGGTACCCATTTCGCACTGGCATAGAACACTTAGTTCTCATATCTGAGGGGAAGTACTGAATTATAAATCTTTTCCACTGTAGCACCTGCCTTCAACTTACATAGATTACTGGTATTTAAGAAAGATAAGCTTCTTAGATACTTGAGATATTTTTGGTTACACTTTTTAAAAATAGCTTTGATGGTAGATTTGATAATCAGCAGAATAATAACTGCAACCCTACATTTTGAATTTTTTTTAAGCTCTCTTGCTATTAAACATATGTTCTTGTAACAATAAAAAGTAATAATGCAGAGATCTTAATAGGCACAGAGTTTATTCAGTTTGACACAAGCTCACTTGTACTTTAGAAAGCAAGTTCATTGTGGGAAGGGAACTTACTTGAACCTTGATTTCCGCCCCCCACCCCCCTCCGAACATTGGGATAGACAACACAATTTAATCAGCATTCCTCAAATATTTTTTCAAACTTGGAATGCTAGTAAAAATGCTCAAAATGAAATAGTTTATTGACTTAATGTAACATTTTATTTGTGGAATAGCTAATGGCTACCTGAAGGAAAAGAAAATTGACCAAAGGATACTAAGCTCATTGCTCCCCATTGCAGTATTTAGGTAGTTGGGAACTTAGAAATCTCTTCTACATGCTCTGACACTAAGTGACTGATTCTAAACTGAGATTAGGATTCCAAACAATCAGTGTTGTCTTTTAACTGGATTTATTATATCACATATAATTGGTTTTATATCATAAAATTAATATGTCATGCAAATGTAGATATAGCTATGTACATACCTGTACACACATGGATTTTTAAAAATTGATGTGTAATTCACATGTGAAATGTACAGTGTACAGACCTGACCCCTGGTACAGGCACATACTCTTTGGGCCACACTCTCTCAGGCTACAAATTGTCCCCACCACCATAGGAAGTCCCCTTGTGCTTCCTGTCAGCCAAGTTTTCCCACTCCCTGAAGAAACGTGGTTGCTTTTTGATTAAAAAGTGAAAGAATAATTAGCAGAGTGCAATTTCTTTTTTAAAGATAACAATTGCATAGTTTTACTATTTCTAACCAAATACCTGCTGCCTGACTTCTCAGTGTTTCATCTGTGCTCATGTTTCTAAGACCATTGACATCATGTTCTAGAACTAACACCCCGAAAAGATATCCTTTTCATTATAGGGGACTAGAATGCAAAAGTAGGAAGTCAAGAAACACCTGGAGTAAGAGGCAAATTTGGCCTTGGAGTACAGAATGAAGCAGGGCAAAGGCTAGTAGAATTCTGCCAAGAGAACGCACTGGTCATAGCAAACACCCTCTTCCAACAACACAAAAGAAGATTCTACACTTGGCCATCGTCAGATGGTCAACACCGGAATCAGGTTGATTATATTCTTTGCAGCCAAAGATGGAGAATCTCAATACAGTCAGCAAAAACAAGACTCAGATCATGAACTCCTTATTGCCAAATTCAGGCTTAAATTGAAGAAAGTTAGGAAAACCACTAGACCATTCAGGTATGACCTAAATCAAATCCCTTATGACTATACAGTGGAAGTGAGATATAGATTTAAGGGATAGACAGAGTGCCTGATGAACTATGGACAGAGGTTTGTGATATTGTACAGGAGACGGGAATCAAGACCATCCCCAAGAAAAAGAAATGCAAAAAAGCAAAATGGCTGTCAGAGGAGGCCTTACAAATAACTGTGAAAAGAAGAGAAGCAAAAAGCAAAGGAGAAAAGGAAAAATACTTATTAAACTCTCCATTTAATAAATACTTATTAAAAAAACTCTCCATTTGAATGCAGAATTCCAAAGAATAGCAAGGAGAGATAAGAAAGCCTTCCTCAGCGATCAACACAAAGAAATAGAGAAAAAAAATAGAATGGGAAAGACCAGAGATCTCTTCAAGAAAATTAGAAATACCAAGGGAATATTTCATGCAAAGATGGGCTCAATAAAGGACAGAAACGGTATGGACCTAACAGAAGCAGAAGATATTAAGAAGAGGTGGCAAGAATACATAGAAGGACTGTACAAAAAAGATCTTCATGACCCAGATAATCATGATGATGTGATCACTCACTCTCACCTAGAGCCAGACATCCTGGAATGTGAAGTCAAGTGGGCCTTAGGAAGCATCACTTTGAACAAAGCTAGTGGAGGTGATGGAATTCCAGTTGAGCTATTTCAAATCCTGAAAGATGGTGCTGTGAAAGTTCTGCACTCAATATGCCAGCAAATTTGGAAAACTCAGCAGTGGCCACAGGACTGG